GATGCAAGTTAGACTGTTAAGTTCTTTGCATAATTTTTTAATTTTTTTATTCCTTCTTTTTTCATATTTTAAATGTTAGTATACATTATAAATTATATATTGTTACAAACTGTTTCGTTATTGGTTTAAATAAACAAGCTGTACAGATCTCACAACAAACATTGAATTAGCTAAAAAGAAAAGTATATCTATAAATGCAAATTACGAAAACTAGTGTGACAAATAAAAGGAAGAATCGACGTTCTTTTGTAGCAGTTTTGTTTCAACAGAATCTGTTGCGGGTACGTTACTGCTGAGAGGATTTTGTATAGATCGTATCAACGCGACAATTGGTAGCGTCCAAGATCGTGTTCAGATAAAATAAAAATCTTGGAGACGCCAGAAGAAACAGCTCCATTAGATGTTGCTTCGTTGTCATGAAAGAACCATCATCACATGAAAGTTTCTTAAAAAAATATCAAGATGTCAGCTGATGTTAAGTTTACGCTGTGATTTTAGTAATAGATTAATGTAATAAATATAAAAGAGAAAAACAAATATAATGTCATAGGAAAATAAAAGGAGCACATAAATTATGTCTCTTAATTCCTCTAAAAGATTTAATTTATATAACGAATCCAAAAAGTAAATCATAACATGTAGCGAAAATTAAATAAATTTAATTTTGCTGCAGTAGTAATTAGCGCCAGATCATTATTAGGATCAATTTAACAGTTTCAGAAATATAAAATATTAAGTTTTCTAAAATTTTAAAGAGAAATTGGGTGTGTGTGTGTAAAGATTATCTTAGATTTGAATAAAAATTGCTATTTGACTCTAAAAATTCGACATAATTTTCACAATGTAGAAAAAAAATTTACGATTGAAAGGGGATTTAAAGTGCCGTTCGTTAATTCAATCGACTATACGACTCAGACCAAACTTTGATAAACTTGCCGCGTATCTCTCTTTCTCTCTTTTTCTTGGGGAGACATTCTCTTACTTTGGCTCCATTCGCATTCCACGTCTGCGGACAAAAATGCATTTCTAGGCATACGCCTCGAACGAGTCGCTTGTTCCACTCTCCTTAAGTATTATCTAGTGTATCGTTGGTATTTTAATCTCTAAAGTGAAATGACTAAGATCTACGGGATTATGGAAAGACGATGATATCTAGCGTATCGTAATTGGTAGCCGAGATCGTGTTATGATAAAGCACAAACCTCTCGGGCGCCAGATAAAACAGCTCCATTACAGCCAGAGCATTCCTGCAACAAAGAGATGAATTCTGCAACGGAATGTTGATTCTAGGGTTGTTCCTTGGATCACTCATATCATTCATCGAAGAAAAAGAAACCATTATTTCAAGTTTTGAGAAGATATTCAAGCAGATATATACCATGATTTCTAAGCTAAGAATTTGAAAATACTTTTTCGACTATTGTGTATACGCGTATTAGTGCTCTTTGTGTGTCGTTTTTAAGCAGACACAGGATTTATTTTCTATCTAATCTCTCTTAAAACGGTATATCTCTATTTTTGAGTTATTTTCGAGAAGTTTAAAGTGGGAATCGTTTCGATGTCCGAAAGACTAAGAATTTAAAGCTACGTTTGTTTGTCTTGTCAGTAACGTAAAAACCTAATGTTAAAAACTTAAATAAAAAAAATATTAACTGTAAATTATTATAATTTATTAGACAAGAGGAAAAAATGTGCAATTCAATTTGTAAAATCTCGAAATTATACTACAAATAGACACAGTATAGCTAAATATTTAAACAGGATATTTGTGTTCGTATTTTGAAAGTTGCGTCACTTTTCTAGATATAAGGTAAACACTTTAATCTTATCAAAATGAAAAATCCTCGATTTCTCGAGGCAAGGATCGCGCAAGAAAGGGCGATATGGAAAAGAAAAGAAAAGGTCAGTTCCCTTATGGATATAAACTACCGGTATTACGATAAGTATCAACTTAGAGGTTCTTACCTGGCACGCTATTTCCGTTTTCCCTGCAGCCCCATACTGAGAGATGCACGCATGCTCCTGCTTTATGTTGAATACTTTTCCAAATGACGTGTAGAGCGATCACTCTTACGTCGTCAACTCCATTAGGGCAAAGGGCAGTGAGTACGTTATCTATCGAGTGTTTCCATTAAGCTATATGTCGTGAGTTATGCGATTTGCTATCTCATCGGGGCATGCACAGGACCGAATAGACTATGATCCATCGCGGATCTGCAATATTGGAACAGCTCATGTCGAAAAATCAGAGCTATAAATAAATATACAATAATAAATCTTATTTTTCCTTAATTACATGAAATTATTTACAATCTACTAACTGCGGAAAAATAACTGCGTATTTTATCGATATTTCTTTCGTAATCAGAAAACGAGTAGAATCGAAAAAGTTAGATCTGTACGCAATGCGCTCTTAATTGACGATGAATAATAATTATTGAAATCTACAGCTTTTATATTTTATGCGCGATACAATGAGTATAATTGCAAAGAACAAAGAACAAAGAATTTACCGCTACATACGGTTGATTAATGCGAGAGGCGATAGTGCGAGCAAGATTAGTCTTTCGTTGTAATGTCTCGAGTGCAGTCTCTCTTTTCGACACGCGTATATTTCAATAGAACTCGTCTACGATAATGATGGAACCGCTTCTTGAATCTCTAATCGTACAGTTAATACGTGACAAAATATTTCTAAGCAATTTAATCTGACATCATATGAAAATTGTACATTTGTTATTTTACGATATTACATAGAAGTACATGATGCTACATTCAACTTTGATGCATTTTTTATTAGAAAGCGAGCGATAAGATGTGTTTAAGATGTGTTTAACGTATTGGTATCAAGTTAAATTAAAAATATTAGCAGAAAAAATTAATTATATTATTAACAGAAATCTTATTTCTATTTATGTCCCTACATTTTCTTTTCCAATAACAAGAAATAAAAAGTAAAACCATAAAAATATAATCAATAAGTTATTATTGAATATAGTTATTTTCAGGAATTTTAACTTTTTTATACTTACGTTGAATCGTTACGGGAAATCTAATTGGGATAAATCAAAAACTTGCAATACAATTATAGTTGATTGTCTAATTTTAGCAATTTATGATACATGAAAGAATATTACGTACATATGGGAAATTTAACTATTATTCCGAAATCGACATCTGTATTATAAAATGGGTAATACCTGTCTGACTATGAACGCATTTTCAGTTTACGAATGCATATTAGAAATTATAATCGGAATTTGTAATTCATAATATAAGAAATACATATATTGTATTTTTAATAAGTATAATACATCACGAGATATGCGCAATCGCTTATGCTTTTTACATAGCAAAACAATTACGCATTATATTTAACATATGTAGAAAAAGGTATTTTTATTTTTCATTAAAATATATACTTCACATCTTATAATTTCTTAATTAAGTTAAATGTTTGCCGAATATCTTTAAGAAATCTTTTTATATACGTATTTTCCGAAAAGTAGAATTAATTTTCTAGCAAATTATATTATTATCTTACTATCATTGTAGAATTTTCTCATAAATGTATTCTATAATTGGCCAATTTTTTCTTTGAATTCGTGACAATTAAAAAAAAATTCGCGAATAATTACACTTGCGGCAAAGTCAAGATACGGAACAAAAAATGCTAGTTGCGTGTTGGTAGTTAAGCAACGAAGCTACCAAGGATCGCGGCGTTCCGTGAAGTCCGCGCGCACGTTTATCTGCGAACAGGCGGCTGATTTATTATAAGTAACGATGATAAACGCGAGTAATCGCGTCCTAATCGACCAGCAATTAACCTCACGTTTCCAATTAACGAAGTAAGCCACGATCGTATTTCTCTCGTTGAGACCTCTGAATAACGACGAGGCTGATTAGTCAGTAATCTCTAATTTGTGTTCTCCAAGTTATATTATTATTATCGTTATTATTATCAATATCGAATCTTAATATCGTTTGATACATTGCTACATCGACATTAATAGACAAAAAGTTAATTATTTTTAACTAAAATGACAAATAATGAAATTGTTTCAAAGATAATAACGTAATTATTTGTGTTATTCAGGTTTACGTTATATAATCAAATAAAAGTTTTGATAACGCAATTGTATAGTTTTAAATAGCGCGTGCATTATATATATTTTTAAATGCAATCTTTTGATTTTTAGTGATACGTGAATTAATAATTCGTAGAAATTTCAAACTATTCGTGATTCTAAAGAATTATTTGGCTACAATCTGTACTAGAATAAAGTGTACCTCATTAATAACAAAAGTTACATCGGATTATGGCTTCGATCGAAGCATACACACTTATATGAAATAACTCGCGTGAAAAAAGCTCGCGGAGCGAGTGAGCCAAGAAACCTCAGACGGTGTACCGAGGTAGTCCATAAGTCAGACTCAAGGCGGTACGGATACCCAAAGATATCCATGAGGAACGATCCGGCGCGCCTTCTTATCCACGTCCGATCTGGTCGGACATTATAGGCGCGACAAGGTGGAAAGGAGACGCTAACGCAGATCGTCGACGAAAGAGAAAGAAAGAGAGAGAGAGGGAAGGAGACAAAGAACGCCAAAGCGGGGAAGAAAACGCAGACAGAGGCGAAAAGGAAGAGAGGAAAGGAAGGGCAGGTGAAAAAAGATTTTATGAAAGTCCCGATCCCGGTGGATGTGTGGTCGCCGCCTCCTGGAACACGAGGTCCCGGTTGCCTCATGTGGGCGTTATTCGCTCCGCCTCTGAAAGTTACAACGATCGGATCAGAAGAACCGCCTAGTCCGGTCACTAACGATCCAACAGTCCCTCCCCAGCTATGCCTGTCCTCATGTATTCCTCACCCCTCACTTTCCAAGCTCCCATCCCTTCCTGGTGGAGACCAAGAGACTCTACTCGACGGCGTAGCTGTTACCTCCCGCACCGCGGCTTCTCCTCATCCTGCGTCACCAACGGGAGAGGTGACTGTCCAGGACAGTTTCAGAGACGCAGTCACCGGCTGCACCACGTCTTGGAGGAAGTGTCCTGTGTTACTTCATATATATACAAACAACGACGCGAGTGCGGTCGATTAGAACGCGATAAATATTGCTAATCATCCGGGATCCCTAAAAATTAAAGGAATTAGCTAACGGAATTAGATAACAGACCGACTTGATTTGAAACCGAATTGAATCAGATCATCATCGTTCTTATTGAACTTTATCCTGAAAATTACGACTACTGTCGAATTAGGGATGAATGGAAGTGACAATATGCCTTAATATTGTGAAAAAGGTGTAATTTCGAAGCTAGTTTTGTGATGAGCGTGCTGATAGACGGTAAAGGATATTCTTTAGAGTTGACAGAACACTCGAATGAAACGATACATAGACATTTTGAAAATTACAAAAAAGACATGGATATCTAAAATGCACTATACTAATTGTTAAAAAATAACTATCAATATAATACAGTGACTATTTGTGCAACTAATGTTTCAATAGAACTGGATTACTGCCTTGAAGATAAAAATGAAAGCAATTTTATACATTCTATAAAACTGTTTGAATCTTTGAACAAAAGTGATTTAAAAATAAAGATTTTCATTACTTTCAATCATACGTCATATTTTCGCAAAAAGAAATTCACATAAAGTCACATCTCAAAGTTTTCGATTATTATTCAAAGACGAATTTGTAGCTTACAGAGATTTATTGGAGTTTTTATGTAGAATGACATAAAAACCCCGTTACCCAGAAGTACGAGGATCTTTCTGAGAAGAAATTTTTCTGCAGCTTGTAACGATCTCGGAATTTGGCAGGTAGAGAACAGTACATGGTGACTCAGTGCGTGTCGTCGCGACAGCGACCTTCCTCGGAGTCTGGCGCCTTTTCTTCATCGACTCATTGTCAGAGACAAGTTGAAGTAAATAGTGCGTAATTATTAGAAAGTTGATATTGATTGAAACAATTGATAATCTGATAAAGTATTTCTTCTGAGTTTAATAATTAATGTCGTTGACAAATATCTTTCTCTACAACTAATTATTTAATTGACACAAGAGAAAATAGTGAGAAGTGACACGTTGCCATGCGCAATTATTAATTAGACACAGAGTGTTGAAAAGAAAACTATCGAGAGAATTATATGTTTCTGCTACGAAGACTTCTTGACCGTATAAAATTCCGGCAGGACGAGGATGTCAATCACTAACTGATAACATGTGAGTACGAATGTTCTATCAATTACGATAGCGAAATTTTTTTACAAGTGTTACGAATTTTATTATTTTGTTAAAACTTTTCATCCTGCTAATGCTGAAATTAAGACAAAATATTTTTGGTATCGCAAAAGATACGTTGCTATAATCGATATGTAAAATATATAAACAATATATGTATCGCCGGATCTATTTGCTGCAACGTAAAATTAATTTGCTACAGCCTATGGTTATGTTTTCATCTAGGACAAAGTTTCAAATAACGAGTCGGGCAATCGCGAACATAAATTTGATTACACACCCGAGCGAAAATAATAAGCACAATTCAAAACAAAAATAGTGATTTCAACAAGTCGCGTTCAATTCTATTGCGATTGCTGTATTTGAGAAAGTAGACCGATAAGGATGACCATCGCGCAGAGCGTTATGCTTATCAGGATGCACATTGCATCGCGATCATAGTATATTTATTATATGGATATGCAGCCTTATCAAGCGTTTCCGCATATTGACATTAATTAGTGACGATAACGATAGCGATAGCTCATGTTCACGGAAATGCACAATCTTCGTTTGCGCGTTTGTAAATTTTCGTCAAGCGCAATACTTGGATCACTATTGAATGTAGATTGACATAATAATAATTGCGAGATATCAATTAAAAAAAAAGAAAAATAACATGTATTCGATTTTCTTTCTAGATATAATTTATATTGTATCAGCACTAAATTATCAGTATTTCAAAATTTTCTGTTTGCTTCTTAATGTTTTCAATAAAAACGCAACGTTACAATTTTTGCGGCATGAATGAATGTTTTTGATATGCGGATATAGTAGAATACCGATATCCCAATAATTTATATATATATATATATATATTATTTATATATATATCACTAACAACTTCCAGACTTTATCTGAAAGGGCTATTGTAATATTGCTCAGTGTCGCAATTCTCATTGCGCGGTTGAAAAAAATCGCTGTTTATACATGACGAATGTTGTGGTTCGCGTGATGAAACATCCGTGATATAAAGACGACGGTGATTAACAGCGTATCGGCAGCATCGAACAGCCCTTGTAACTGTAAGAGCTATTCGATGTTAACTGCCCCGACCGATATCAATTAATTTCGTTCATTACTGTTAATTATTCGGGGGGAATGCAAAGAAGATAGGATAATATAATATTTAATTTGATATGTAGATGCCAATAATTGACTTTATAAGACTAGTATTTTTTACTTATCTCCCGACTAATAAAATCTGTAACTTAAAAGAAAAATTAGTTTGTATAGGATATATTTTCATATACAGCGCGTGCAAATTTTATTTTATTTTATTTCATTGTATTTTAAGAGTGAAAATTTAAGTGTACTGAGATATATAAATAATATAAATAAAAAATTGTATAAATTAATATATAAATTGATATAATCTTTACATTAATAAAACTATGATGTTTTCTAACAATAAATTTCGTCACGTTATGTATTTAAAAAAAATAAGTAAAAATTCAAACTCTTCTAAAAGATAAATACATCGAGTTAAACAATTTTCGAAACATTTTCAATGTTAAACTGCGAGTTACCAATCGCAAAAAAAAAATGAAAAAATGACGTAAATAAAAAATTTATCATTGCCAATAATCGCATTGTAGTTTCCTCATGTGTTCTATGCGAGGAAATAGTTTGATACATTCTTCGGAGAAGCACGACTGCTGTTGATAAGTCGCGAATTACTCCACGTGCCTATCGTATTATCAGTTAACGGTTATTACGATCGAGAATATGAAATATTTTACTGCATAGCATGACATTACCGCCGCATCTGGTGTAAGCGATAGTCACGAGCTACCGTCATAGTTTATTATCTAGTCCCCTTTTGTTATCTGAAACAAAATTGGAAATACCTTTACACGATCTTTCCATACTTCAATTCTTAACATGTTGCATAGGACAAAGAATTAGAAATACACTTAAAATAAAATGTACATAATAGTGCATAATGAACTGTTATTTAAAAGATTAATATTCCTTATAGTATCTGCAATAAAAATTGACTTTTTGATTTTCGCGTTTGTACGATTAACTTTCAGTTAGCATTAAATTAAAATGAGCATAATAATATAATTATATGTTTGATAAATTTATTTTTATGAATCTCACATATTTAAACAGATCTACACAGTTGTGGAATTCTAGATAAAGAAGGTTATAAATATCGAATTATCTATCAAGACACCGTGCCAGACATCGTCAATGATCCAGCATCTGTTGCACGAGATATTCTCCAGGATCGCCATTGCGCTGTCTGATCTCGTTACCTGAACATTTTTCACTTCTTTTTTTATCAACTCTTAACCTTCGACTTCGTATTAAAAGCTCTTTATTTTACATGGCAATCGTTCTTTGAAGCTTACTTCAGCCGAACCTCTGTGAAATTCTCTTGAATATAGATTTTTGATCATCTAACAATAAGTGGCCATATCACAGTTTAAATAAAACGAAAAGATTTTGTCTTCTTTTGTATATCTTCTAATATATATGTTGTTTAAATAAATAATCTTTGATGAAGTTATACACAACTTTTAGAATTTCGATATAATTAATATTATTACAGCTGTTGTACATATTTAAAATCTATACATTTAAACTGTATAATATTTAAAAAAGTTCTGAAATTAATTTTTCGGTCAAAAGACCAGAGACCAGAAAGCGGGATTATCAATTATGCTTTAAAGATTTATTGCGCGATTAATTAATAACGTGCAAATTTTGAATTTAAGCTGACGAAGAAGTAAATATTAACAAATAACTTTGTTAAATAAGTAGGTGCAAAAATATCTATTTCGGTCGTCGAGCTAGTAAGCTTCATAAAAATTACGTACATTTTGAGATAGATAATTAGTCGGCTATTGTTGCCGGTTAATATACGCATGTGCAGTATCGCGGTGCGGGAAATAGCTGTTTAGATAAAACTCGTAGTGGAAGAATGGCGGTGCCGGCATATTTCGATGTACCGCGATACGTATTCATGAAGTTATCATTGACTTCTTAACATCGCCCCATTTGTGTGTTATGGCGCGCTATGTTCCATTGAAATAAACGCGATAGGATCATTGCACTTTACAATGTGTTTTATTATAACAAAATTCATCAATCGTATTTCGGGATAAGCACGTTGATTTCTATAGAGTATAATATTTAGTAATTTCGTTGTAATTAAATATTTTATATTTTTAAATAAATTCTTTTCAGAATATATTTTCTAATCATAAAATATTATTAATTAGAAATGGATGACTGATATAAAATAATTGACAATGCGGATAAGTATTTTAAGGATTCAACTAGTAATTAAACTTGGGTTCCACCGTAGTAATATTTGTGCCAAATCTATATTTTTTTGTTTAAGTAAAACAAAACAAAAACTTTAAATTCACGATGTCTGGTAAATTTTTCCGAGACAAGAGGGTGCCCACGTGGACATACGTACAACTATCAGTCGCTCGTAAAGCAGGACCGCGTAGGCTTCTCACCACGGAACAATGCCTGTCGCTACATCACGATACGTTCGTACACCACTCGTTTTCGGTATCGGGCTTGTCTTTTATCGCGAAGCTACGCTCGTACGGCTTGCTAACGCTCGACAAGTGTCGTGACATGCGGGTGGAACTCCACTTTTCACTCTTTCTCCACTACGTATAATAGTGGTTTCATTCCAACGATAATAAATAATTAAATGTGTTAACATTTATCAGAAACAAGGTTCATATTGACGTACTTGTGAATTAGTGCAAATGCTATAGTTACATAATATACATATAGATGTGTACATGATATTTTATCTTATTTTTTGTTAATGTAAATTAGAGTGGGTTTTATCAGCGAAATATTATTAGTCATTTAGTACTGATAAAATGGCGATGTGTGAGAACCATATACGTGAGTAATATACTGTGAATTTCTTTATCAATAATATCACAATAATACGAAATACAACAAAATATAAAATCGACAATCATCACCATTTCCAATTATTAACTTTCCCCAATTATTAAATTCATTTCCAATTATTAAAACTTTGTTTTTTTAAAGGTCAATAAGAAAGCAATAAAATTTAATTTATCTTTACTAATGTCTAACAAATTTGCTGATTTATAGAGTAACTTAACGATCGACGTCGCGAACATGCGAATAACATGTCTGGCAGGAATTATGCGTTGTGATTTAGCTTGCAAATGGCGTCATTTGAAAATTACTTGGTCGAGTTTGCTACGCAAGACCAGAGCATACTACTATACGATAGGCCACTTTACGATAGGTTATCGCTCTACCGGGTGCTCTTTGGCGATTACTTCACATCCGCCTGGAACAGTCGTCCCTAATCTTTCTAGCGATGAGACCGGCCACCTTCCGCCTGCATTTCACTTTTATTCTAGGTAACTTAAAGTGCTCGCACGACATCATAGGCAATGGCTCGTAAAGCATGCTTTTAAATTATTAATTTTGAAATACTACAGAAATAATTTGACATACGTACATACAATATTTACAATACATAGACTATCTCTTAATTCTTTAATTATTAAATATGTTATTGTGAGATCGAATGCAGTTGGAAGGAGATGTAAAAAACTAAACATTCTTCGTTTTCTAGTAAATTCTTTACAGTAAAGCACTCCAAAACAAGTGCTAGTTTTTTTTCACAGAAGGAAGGAAACCACACACCGAAATCTGAAGTGGTATCAGATCCTTTACACATCTTCGAGGATGCACACATTCGTGATTGCCCATCTGTATATATACAGTGACGTGTGTATGCACACGATCATGTAGGTAGATACAGGATGGCACAACTATATGAAAGGGATCGTTGACTTTTTAGGCCTAATTAGTTGTCGCCCGGCATCTCATCTCGTTCCCAACAGAAAACCTAGCTTGAAGATGACACAGTCGTGATTCGACCGTCGAGCACTTTGATCTCTTTTCTCTTTCTTTTC